TTACCTGAATATTGAAGCCATGATCCAATATTATTTACAGCTTCTAAAGCCCAGGAATTTAATTTAAAGAATTTAAGGAATTTAATTTATTTTAAAGCCAGTTTCGCAGTTGCACCAAAAAATAACTCAGGAATCCATCCGGTGCTTGGAACTTCCGCAAAGGCTTTGGTGCAAAACTATTCGGCGGAAAAATAAGTGAATATTTGATGATCTAGAAATTATTTAATGGATTAATTGAGAAACTGATAAACTAGATGTTAGGATATGCGCCAGTAAAGATTTCCACCCAATAAATCTTTACCAAATTGAAAGTGATGGCTGTAACAACTAAAATTGGAACTACTCCTACATAACTTATGTCTTATACGAACCTCTGGAACCCCTTCTAAAATCTATATGCTCTTTGTATGTATCAACAAGTTTAGTGAATGACCGAAAATTGGAACCATTTGATTAGAATTCCCAATTAATGAGCCCTTGTACACTAGCCGTACATACTCGATATGCCTGCCGGCTTTTAGCGCATTTTCTCATTTATGAAAAAATGCACTATTATGCTTGCCATGTCCGTCTGTCCGACCGTCTGTCTGTCCGTCCGCGACTTCATGTTTTCGTCGACGAGAAAATGCGCTCTCTGTCACTCACTACAGTGAGTACTGAGGTACATATATTTTCTTTTATTTGAATTTATGAGAACCTCTGAAGACTAGTTCAATGCGGCCCCATGTCATGACAGTTGAAGGAATTTGACTTGAATTTTGTTAATCGGGTGCGAAATTGGGTGTGTTGAAGAGTTGCCCAAGGTTTCTCAATCCTCGGCTGAAGGGCTACAGAACGGGGCAGCCAAAGTGGAGACCACAACGGGGCAGAAAGTCCCACTCCAGGGCAGAAAGTCCCACTCCACGGCCACTCACCTGGGGATACTAACCACTCACCTGGGGGTACTAACCAACCACACATGGGGCTATCTCAGAACCATTGTAGCGTAATGGTTCTATCTAAACAGTACACCTGGCGAAGCCAGTCAGGACTCGGCGACGTACAAAAAACTTTTCGCGAGTCATCCCAGCAGGATTGCATCCCACTGCAATGCAGGGAGCATTGATCGGAATTCGTCTATAGCCAGTAGCTCTTTCGCCGCCACAACGCCTCGGAGCGAGACAGCACTGCATAGCATAGGCTTCCTGTACGGGACCTCAGCACAGTAAACCTCTTAATTGCTTATACGGTTAAAACAGACTTTTTTTTCTTTTAGTCCTATAGTGAGAAAGATTGCACCGGGCAGTTCAGCTCAGTTCGTTTCCGCGTGATCTCGATTTTATGTTGTGTTGAAATATGAACGTCGCGATGAATTCGAGCAAAGAACTGAATAAATAACTTATTGTGCAAATGAAGAGGCTGTGGGGTAAGTGCCGTACTTTACCCGCACAGTGAGGAAATTACGAGACCGGAAATGACTCAAACTGGATCAAGTGAATTTATTTGATACGGCAATGAATACAGAAATGACAACAGTAATTATAGTTATAATAGAAATAATACCCTTGGCAACGTGAGAACTTGTTCGAGAAGTATGTCTTATAAGTAACCATGGTGAGGCAAATAATAGTACAATATAACCAGTTACGCATATAAACAAAGAAACTTATCTTAGAGACCTAAATCTTCACTAACCTGCTGTTGTGGATCGGCTGGGCTATACTGACTAAGGGACAAACTAGAACGCGAGGTAAACTTCCTAACGGTGTTGCCAAGTTAGAGGAAAAAGGATATATTTATTTAAAAGTCGTAATTTCTAGGTTCTCTACAAGGCAAGATCTGACGACAGCATAACAAGAATTTGAAGAACAGAACTTTTTGGCTGCCGCCTTCTGATCTTTTTTTCACAGATTTGCTGGAACCTCTGAAGACTTGTCCAATGCGACCCCACGACAGAGTTTTGAGTTATAGTTGTCAGAATGCCTTTTTAATTTGCACTTTATCATTATTAATCACTTAAATTGATCACTTTAATTAATTTGCACTTATTCATTAGTCATTACACATCCCTGCCTAACTCAAACTCTCCCTAGCACCTGTTGAAGAGTAGAACAGAACTTTATGCCTGTCGCTTTCTGATATTTTTTTCTTATTTATTCTTGTCTGATCTTTTTTTCTTATCTATTCTTATCTGATCTTTTTTCTTACTTATCCGTATCTGATCCTTTTTTCTTATTTATTCTTATAGGAGCACTGGAAACTAGTGTACATATAAAGCCCCTTGCCTAAACTGGGTTTAATTGGTAACTAACAGTTTACCAGCTCTGAAAGTGAAATTCAGTAATAATAATAGCGGTTTCAGCGTTTATTAGGCCGTAGGCCTGTCGCCGATTCATTACATCACAGAACATTCACAGCTTGTTGCGGTCTCGAACTCACAACTCACTGCTACAATTCTGCTGTGCTTAACCGCCCGGCCTCCTCGCCGATTCTGACCAGAAACTGGCGCGCAGAGCTATGGGATCGAACCCGCAACTCACTGCTCTAATCTATGTACCCTGAAATTTAACCACTGGTAAAGAAACCGTGGTAAAGTAAAACGTGGTAAAGGGAACAGTAAAAATTCCCGCCTTCTGATCTGCTAGAATAGCCAAGACATTTTGTCTTCAATGTCAGTTTCAGAAAGGTACAGTGAAAAAGATACTTTAAAAAATATTTTGAAATAAGTTTTAAACATCATGTATCAGCTATAGGCCAGACTAAGCCATATCTTGAGTGTAAACACTTTATTATTTGGCAAATTATTTATTATTATTTATTATTTGGGAAATTATGGGAAAAATTATTTATTATTTGGGAAATTATGGGAAAAATTATTTATTATTTGGGAAAGACGTGCAGCTGACGAAGGACGTGCAGCTGACGAAGGACGTGCAGCTGACGAAGGACGGGCAGCTGACGAAGGACGTGCANGGGTTAAGGCCTCAGCTGTTAAGGCCTCAGCTGTCACTAAGGCATCAAGGGCTAAGGCCTGTCACTATAAGGCAAGGTTTGCTTAATTAAATAATATTATTTTTCTTAACAAACAGATTCGTTAATAAAATATTTTATATCGGTAACCGAAGCTCTTTAGAAGAGATTTTTGCCGGCAATATACGTTAAATATTAATTATACATTTAAAATTCAGTCTTCATACGTGAATTTTTCTCAATATAAAATTATTTCACGTTATATATATATATCATTATATAATAATGATGGTAGTTGCTATCACCATTATAACAATGATATCTATTACAATAACAATTGTAACTGGACTAAAAGACAAAAAAAAAGATTGTGCCTACAATAGAGCTGGAACATATAACAAACAGCGTTAAAAACTAACTAAAAATAAAACATATTAAATTACAACACTAAATATATAACAAACAGCTTTAAAATAAACTAAAAATTAAATATATTAAATTACAACACTGAACTATACATACGGCGTCTTCATTAAATGCCCGTCTTAAGAGTCCGGTCCCCAGGCTTAAGAGTCCGGTCCCCAGTCTTACGAGTCCGGTCCAACAATCTGTGTTTACTAGTAAACAATCTGTGTTTACTAGTAAACAATCTGTGTTTACTAGTAAACAATCTGTGTTTACTAGTAAACAATCTGTGTATACTAGTAAACAATCTGTGTTAAACCGACTAAGAAGTCGACGGTATGTCCTAGGGTCACCCAATGGTTGCCCAACGGTCGGTCGGACAAGGGTCGCCCAACGGTAGCCTTAGGGTCGCCCAAGGCTCGGCGGGGCGGCACCTGGGCGACTCATTCCCTACTCTGACTTTTAACATAACTTTTTCCCCCTTATTCTTACCCCACTTATTCACCTCTTCAAATCAAAATATTATTTTTAAAGTTCGTTATTTTTAGCGCATTTTCTCATTTATGGAAAAAAATGCACTATTGTGGTCGTCATGTGCGTCCATCTGTCCGTCCGTCCGTCTGTCTTTCCGTCCGTCCGATCGTCTGTCTGTCCGTCCGTCTGTCCGTCCGTCCGTCCGTGACTTCACGTTTTCGTCGACGAGAAAAAGCGCGCTCTGTCACTCACTGCATTGAGTACTGAGTTATTTTTTTTTTTGTATTTTGTTGTTATATAAAAAATTTGTACAGCAGTAATAACCGTTAGTATGGAAATATTTACATTACTGTTGAAGTACAAAGCTTTTTAAATATTACATTTGTGATCGTCACGCGTTGTTTGAGATAACTGTATAGATATCGGACAATATGTATTTTATATCGGGCACGATTAATGGGTATACGAGTCCACATATTATATTTTGATATTAAATGTAATCGTTACAGCTATTACATCAGTATCACATTTCCTATCGTAAAAGATAGAGTTTTTGCACACGAAGAAGATTTCATGTTTTTTTCGTCACTACACAAACAAAACATAGGTCAAAAGTGAATTTAAAAAATCAACATCAACGGTGTCACACTAATATCGATTAATGCCGGCTTAAAGAGATCAAAAGATGTCTGTAAAGAGTCTTTTCCGAAAAAAACTCCAGTATTTAAAAGAGTCCATAGACAATGGTATCGTTGCGGCAAAAATTCATAAAATTTCGTAAACTTTTGTTCAAATTTTGATGCACTTTTCGCACTCTTAAAAGGCTCACTGAACTGAATAATCCATTTAAGGTCGTAAAAAAGACTAAGGAGTGTTTTCTATAAGGGATCCTTAAGAGTACAGTTCAGTGAGCCTTATAAGTCTCACTGAACTGTACTCTTAAGGATCCCTTAGCAAACACCCTCTTGGTCGTTTCTTATGGCCTAAAATAGAATATTCATAACAAAATGAAATTTAGTTTCAGAACAAAGAAACGTAGGTTCGTTTTGGTGACTCGAAACTGTAACGTTTCTTTATTATTGATTGTCACGTGTTGTTGCGACGTTGCCACGTGTTGCGGCGTTGCGTGTTGTTGCAGCGTTGCCAAGTGTTGTTGTTGCGGCGTTGCCACGTGTTGTTGCGGCGTTGCCACGTGTTGTTGCGGCGTTGCCAAGTGTTGCTGCGGCGTTGCCACGTGTTGAGACGTTGCCACATGTTACCGCGGCGTTGCCACGTGTTGTTGCGGCGTTGCCACGTGTTGTTGCAGAGTTGCCACATGTTGCTGCGGCGTTGCCACGTGTTGCTGCGGCGTTGCCACGAGTTACCGCGGCGTTGCCACGTGGTGCGGCGTTGCCAAGTGTTGTTGCAGCGTTGCCAAGTCTCCTGGTCGCTAAGATGTCTTCCCGTTCTCATCGGTCTCCGACTGAAAAACAATTAATTAATTAATAATTTAGCCGCCATTTCAGCCATCACGAGTTGCTATCAAGTGGTAGACTCTTGAAAAATGACTGAGAGCTTCAGCACCTGTTTTGGTCAAGTGAGTCAGCAAATCAGAAGTGTGGCCAGCTCCGGCATTACCCTAACAAAATTCGGGGTATGCTTCAGCCTCCGCCCCAGAGTTGCTATGTTCGCGTTAGTTATTCTGGGTCACTTGGCCAACTGATCGCAATCAGCGACTAGTCAGAACCTCCTTGCCGACTTTATGGTCTCTTGAGAGTAGGGCAAGAGTTGGCAGAATAAGTACCAGGCGCTTGTAGCTGTCTGATTCGGGGACCGGAATGTAGACCAAAAAGCGGACATAGAGAAGCTGATTTACGTTCGGTCCGAGTCCACCCGCCACCACCCCAACCACCCTCCGAACACCACCCGCCACCCACCACGGTGTTTATGAGGTTCTCCTGCGCGAGCGCCGCGCGGCTGGCGGCGGCCGACGTGGCCCTCAGCCGCCGGCGCTCCCCGACGCTCGTGCTGCTCTTCGCTGCGGAGGCAAAAAGTGAGATAAAGTTGAGGTTTAAGTGTTGAAATATTTAGTAAAAGCGTTGAATAATAGGTTACAATATTGATTAAACATGCAATGATTAAATGGTAATTAAATGTTTAACTAGGAACTAAATGGGGGTGAGAGGGAACATTATGGCGGTGAGAGGGAACAAGATGGCGGGAATGAGAAACAAGATGGCGACATGTGAAACAAGATGGCACTGAGGAAAACATTACGGTGGCAATGAAAACAAGATGGCGGTAATGAGGAACAAGATGGCGTTAAGGAAAACACGATGACTCTAAGGAAAACATTATGGCGGCAAGGAAAACAATATGGTGGCAAGTAAAACAAGATGATGGCAATGAGGAACAAGATGGCGACATGTCAACAAGATGGCGCTAAGTAAAATATTATAACGGCAAGGAAAACAATATGGCGGTAAGTAAAATATTAAGGCGGCCAGGAAAACAATATGGAGGTACGGAAAACAAGATGGCGGTAATGAGAAACAAGATGGCGGTCGAGCCAAATATATAAGATGGAGGATCTGGCTCCCACTGGCGGTACGGAAAACAAGATGGCGGCAAAGAAAACAAGATGGCGGAAATGAAAACAAGATGGCGGCAAAGAAAACAAGATGGCGGCAATGAGAAACAAGATGGCGGCCGAGCCAAGCAAATAAGAAAGAGGATCTGGCTCCCACCTCTCGCCCCCGACACCTTGCGGGAGGCGGCGGAGCTGATCCTGCTGACGAGGCCGCCGATGAAGGACCGCCGCCGCCGGGGGGTGGGGGGCACCGACCCGATCTTCTCCACGTCACTGGCGACGTACTGGAGGGGGGAGGGGGGAGGGGTGAGGTGACATAGAGGGAGGGGGGAGGGGGAGAGGGGGTGATACAGCAACATGAAAGATAAGTGTTGAATATGAACCAAGACGTTGAACCATATTTTATTTGTTATTATATTATTTATTTTTTATTTAAATCATATTTTGTTGAACCATATTTTATTTCCCATTGAGGAAATAAAATAATTTCTATTGTTACTCATACTACAAATAAATATTTACAGGTAACTAAATATTTCATCGTCATCGTTAATTTATATCGTGAATGTCACCTTGTATACACCAATGTATATACGTACGAGCGTATATACATTCAGAATGTATATACGAGTGTAATCACTAATTATTAATATATTAGATCGTCTCTCTAGACATGCTAGACACGCTATAGACACGCTATTCATGCTGGGGTCTAACCTTCATTGGGGTCGAAGCGACGGTCTTGAGGTCGCTGGGCACGGTCTAGGGGTTGGGGTTAATAAGGGTTATGAGGTTAGTAGGATTAACAGGGTTAATGGGATTAAAGGTGGTAATCAGGACAATATATAGGGTTAGTAGGGTTAACAAAATTTGCAGGGTTAATGGGATTAATGATGATGGTATTCGCGACAAAGTAGAGGGTTAATAGGGTTTTGTTGACCATAGTAAGGAGGGTTAACAAATGCGAGGTTTAACAGGTTGGAGCATGAAAGGCTCCAACCTGTTAAACCTCGTTAGAGAGGCTCCGTAGGGTTAAACCGTTAGAGGTTAGAGGCTCCGTAGGGTTAAACCATATAGGGTTAAATGGTGAGTAGGGCTAATAGGCAGGGTTTAGATGCTTGTACACATAGCCAGTACAAATAGTAGTACTCAGTAAAGGTGCTATTAGTTATTAGAGACGGTTAATATTTGGAAGTTCTAATGGCCGCCACTACTGGCCTGCGTACAAATCACATTTACACGTAATGGTAAAGCACAGAAATGTACATCCCATAACAATGGGGTAATGACATCATTTTATAGCTCCAAAGCAATGGAACCAAGCCATTATAACACTTAATAAATACCTCCCCCTCCTCCCCCCCTCACCTTGATGGGGGTGGAGCCCACGGTTGTGATGCCCCCCGTGACGGTCTCCACCTCCCCCTCCTCCCCCTCCTCCTGGATGGGGTCCAGGATCTCCTGCTGGTGCTCCGGTATTTGCAGGTTGGCCGTTGACCCTGGAAAATGCGAGGACCCTTTAACCCCAAGAGGCATGAGGACTCCTAGAGACACGTGGACCCTTAAACCCCAACGGCATGGGGACCCCTAGAGGCATGAGGACCTCTAGAGGCATGAGGAGCCCTTAGAGGCACGTGGACCCTTTAACCCCAGCAGCATGAGGACTCCTAGAGGCACGTGGACCCCTAGAGGCATGAGGACCCTTAATTAGAGGCACATGGACCCTTTAATCCTAGCGGCATGAGGACCTCTAGAGGCACATGGACCCTTTAACCCCAGCAACACGCGAACCCTGAATGGTTTATCGAATCTTGCGTCTGAATACTTGCGTACAAATTAAATTTTTGTTTAATTGATTGTCGCTGATTGAGTTTCAATCAGCGACAGCGCAGCAGAATTCTTCCCGACCTGGTCTTCACCCCTACAAAAAATCGGGTACCGCCCAGGAGTCGCTACACACTCGGCTTAGAGTTATTCTGGGTCTGCTCGGCCACCCGGTCAGCTTCTGGTCAGAGTCTACTTTCCGACTTTACAGTGTCATGAAAGTATGACATGCATGTGTGTCCTGAGAGCGAGAAAAGCTGCTTAGAGGCTGTAAAGCAAGCCCGGTTGAAGCAGATATTAGCGGCTGATTATCGTGCTCCCCGAGTATTGGGCGCACTTCATGCAGAATCGGGCCAGCATCTAAATATTGTTTGGGACACGGCCAAACCTTAATGTGGCCAGACTTTCCCACGGCCGAACATCCACACGACTGAACTAACTCTCGCCAAACGAACTTATGCCAAAAGAAATAAATATACCAAATTTCAACGCGCCGGAATATATAATTATGACATTTCTTAATATTTCCAGCTTATATTACTGTTCATTATTAACCCTTTGCCGCCTGACACGAGTAACCAGAGCAATATTGTCACGCGCCTACTTCCCAAAAAGGATACGTTCTAGTGAGCGCAAAATGACTTGCACTGATGGTTGCCGCCACGTACGACAACTTTAAGATGTTCTCTGTTGCGTACAAACGTCCTCAGGTTGCCTAACTCAATAGTTTACGTATAATTTAAGCTGAAACATTTGTTACCTGAGAGTTTGTTAGTCAATAGCTTACTTTTAATTCAAGCTGAAAGTTATGTTTCCGGGGAGTGACACACGGCAGTAGAGGGTTAAGTTCGCAAAAAATCTCGGCGACCTTGATTGGAATTGGGCGGCCTATTCCTATGCCACTGGGGTGACCTTGATTGGAATTGGGCGGCCTACTCCTATGCCACTGGGGCGACCTTGATTGGAATTGGGCGGCCTATTCCTATGCCACTGGGGTGACCTTGATTGGAATTTTGCGGCCTACTCCTATGCCACTGGGGCGACCTTGATTGGAATTGGGCGGCCTATTCCTATGCCACTGGGGTGACCTTGATTGGAACGAAAATTTTGACAGGGTACGGCGGTAGAAGGTTAATATCCCCGAAGCTATAGAGACCCAAGCAAGCCTCACCCTGGCTGGGCAAGGTGCGGTAGTGCTCGGTGGCGACCGTGTATGGTAGCGCTGCTGGTACCACCTCCTCGAAGTACATGTCCTTTATGAGCTCAGGATGGTCCTCGTGCATCTCGTCTACGATCAGGTAGGATACCTACGAGTAGATTGACAAGTAGAGTGAAGTAGGATACCTGTGAGTAGAGGGACAAGTAGGATCCCTGCGAGTAGAGTGGTAAGTATCGTGAAGTAGGATACCTGCGAGTAGATAGATATTGATAAGTCCAGCCAGGTATAGGATGTCTGAGAGTACAGGCGAGTAGATTGAGAACTACGGTAATGTATAGGATAACTTTCAGGAGGTTGGCATGTACTGTCTGGTGTCATAAGTTCAGTAAAATATGTAAATCGGCGTGTCCTGCAGGTATAACATAGCACCATATCAACACCTCCTTAGCAACATAGCAATCGTCAGTTATGGAAAGATCGGGTTCCAAAGGCCGGATCCCTTGTGAATCAAGTCATGAAAAATTCAAGAATCGGCAACAGGCCATGGAATAGAAGTGCCGACACTTCTATGCTATTCTATATCAACACCTCCTTAACAACATAGCACCATATCAACACATCCTGCAGGTATAATAACATAGCACCATATCAACACTTCCTGCAGAACAAAACATCAACACTCACGACAATGTTGCGGTCAATGAGGGCGTTGATCTCGAAGTCGTCATCGTCTTCACCGAAGGGGTTGATGAGTGACTCCGCCACCTTCAGCCACCCCATGTAGAAGAAGAACTGCAGGATGGTGAACCAGGGGATGTAGAGGTCCACGGTGTTTCCGTCGTAGTTCTGGGAAGGATCTAAGAACTGCCGTCCTACGATCGTTGCCACGAAGAAGGTGTATACCGACAGCGTCACGACCTGCGCATAACGACCCAATCAGAATTTACCCTAACAAAATTTAGAGTCGCCCCAGCTTCTGGTTTAGAGTCGCCCCAGCTTCTGGCACTGTAAATCAGAAGCTGCCGCGTCTTAATATATTTAGAGTCGCCCCAGCTTCTGGTTTAAAGTCGCCCCAGCTTCTGGTAATCCAAATCAGAAGCTGCCGCGTCTGTAAATTTTCACTGGGTAACAACATTTAGAGTCGCCCCAGCTTCTGGTAATCCAAATCAGAAGCTGCTGCGTCTGAAAATTTTTCACTGGGTAGATCCGCATCAGCTTCTGATTCCTCGAAACAGAAGCTGCTAGGCCTTTGAATTTTGTTAGGGGAGGTAATGGCGGACATAAAGGGCGTGTCATCGGATGTTAGAGTCACCGGACATAAAGGGAGTGTCACCGGATGTTAGAGTCACCGGACATAAAGGGAGTGCCACCGGATGTTAGAGTCACCGGACATAAAGGGAGTGTCACCGGATGTTAGTGTCACTCTAATGGACACTACCAGTACCAGTAGGCTGATGGACAGTACCAGTACCTGGGTGTACACGAGGGGTACGCTGATGGAGTCGTAGCTGAGGAGGCGGCCACACCCCCTACGGAAGTTATTGAGCTCGTCCATGATGGTCAAGTACCTATACCAGTACCAGTAGGCTGATGGACAGTACCAGTACCAGTTAGAGTCACCGCTGATGGTAATCCGGTGACACACGCCCTTTATGTCCGGTGACTCTAACATCCGGTGACACGCCCTTTATGTTACATCTTGTGTACCTACCTGGGTGTACACAAGAGGTACGCTGATGGAGTCATAGCTGAGGAGGCGGCCACAGCCCCTACGGAAGTTATTGAGCTCGTCCATGATGGTCTTGACCGCGAAGTCGTCCCGTATCCTGCCCTCCTTGCGCGCCTTGGACACCAGCGCCCCCGCCCAGATCAGGGGCATCCAGTACTTGGAGTAGGACGTCTTGGCGTTCAGGATCTGGAAGATCATGTGCTCCTGCTCCTTCAGGAGACCTGATGGGAGGTAGGATGTATAGGATACGTTAGAGGATACGTTGAGGGTGTGTAGGAGACGTTGGAGTATAGGACGTCTTGGCGTTCAGGATCTGGAAGATCATGTGCTGCTGCTCCGTCAGGAGACCTGGTGAGGGGTAGGATGTGTAGGATACGTTAGAGGATACGTTACGGGTGTGTAGGAGACGTTATAGGATACGTATGGGATGTGTAGGATACGTTAGAGTAGGACGTCTTGGCGTTCAGGATCTGGAAGATCATGTGCTCCTGCTCCGTCAGGAGACCTGATGGGTGTACACAAGAGGTACGCTGATGGACAGTACCAGTAGGCTGATGGACAGTACCAGTACCTGGGTGTACACAAGAGGTACGCTGATGGAGTCATAGCTGAGGAGGCGGCCACAGCCCCTACGGAAGTTATTGAGCTCGTCCATGATGGTCTTGACCGCGAAGTCGTCCCGTATCCTGCCCTCCTTGCGCGCCTTGGACACCAGCGCCCCCGCCCAGATCAGGGGCATCCAGTACTTGGAGTAGGACGTCTTGGCGTTCAGGATCTGGAAGATCATGTGTTCCTGCTCCGTCAGGAGACCTGGAGGGGGTGGGATGTGTAGGAGATTTTAAAGGATATGATACAGGATATGTAACAGAACACGTTACAGGAGGCTACCTGAACGTTTTGAAACACCTGGGTGTTTAGGTTTGGGCTCGATTGCACGGGGAGGGTTTGAAACACCCAAGTGTTTCAACACCAAAGTGTTTCAAAACAGGGGGCCTTTTTCGCCCAGATCAAGGGCATCCAGTACTTGGAGTAGGACGTCTTGGCGTTCAGGATCTGGAAGATCATGTGCTCCTGCTCCGTCAGGAGACCTGCGGGGTAGGATGTGTAGGAGACGTTATAGGATACGTTAAGGATGTGTAGGAGACGTTAGAGGATACGTTAAGGGTGTGTAGGATACGTTAGAGGATACGTATGGGGTATGTAGGAGACGTTAGAGTAGGACGTCTTGGCGTTCAGGATCTGGAAGATCATGTGCTCCTGCTTCGTCAGGAGACCTGGTGGGGGTGGGATGTATAGGATACGTTAGAGGATACGTATGGGATGTGTAGGATACGTTAGAGTAGGACGTCTTGGCGTTCAGGATCTGGAAGATCATGTGCTCCTGCTCCGTCAGGAGACCTGCGGGGGGGGTAGTAGGATTTTACAGGATACGTTANAGGATACGTATGGGATGTGTAGGATACGTTAGAGTAGGACGTCTTGGCGTTCAGGATCTGGAAGATCATGTGCTCCTGCTCCGTCAGGAGACCTGCGGGGGGGGTAGTAGGATTTTACAGGATACGTTACTGGAGGTCTAGGGGATAGGATGTGTAGGAGACGATTGAGGATACGTTACAGGAGAACTGGAGGGGGTAGGATGTGTAGGAGACGATTGTGGATACGTTACAGGAGGTCTGGGGGGTAGGATGTGAAGGAGACGTTATAGGATACGTATGGGATGTGTAGGATACGTTAGAGTAGGACGTCTTGGCGTTCAGGATCTGGAAGATCATGTGCTCCTGCTCCGTCAGGAGACCTGGGGGGGGGTAGTAGGATTTTACAGGATACGTTACTGGAGGTCTAGGGGATAGGATACGTATGGGATGTGTAGGATACGTTAGAGTAGGACGTCTTGGCGTTCAGGATCTGGAAGATCATGTGCTCCTGCTCCGTCAGGAGACCTGGTGGGTAGGATGTGTAGGATACGTTAGAGGATATGTTACGGATGTGTAGGATACGTTAGAGGATACGTTAAGGATGTGTAGGAGACGTTATAGGATACGGTACAGGATATGTAAGAAAACTCGTTACAGGAGGCCTGGAGGGGGTAGGATGTGTAGGACATGTTATAGGATACGTTACAGGAGGCCTGGAGGGGGTGGGATGTATAGGATACGTTAGAGTAGGACGTCTTGGCGTTCAGGATCTGGAAGATCATGTGCTCCTGCTCCGTCAGGAGACCTGGTGGGGGTAGGATGTGTAGGATACGTTAAAGGATATGATACAGGATATGTAACAGAACACGTTACAGGAGGCTTTCGTGTTCTAACGTTGAAACACTTAGGTGTTTCAAAATCGCAAATTTTGAAACACCTGAACGTTTTTGAAACACCTGGGTGTTTCGGTTTGGGCTCGATTGCACGGGGAGGATTTGAAACACCCAAGTGTTTCAAAACTGGGGATCTTTTTCTCTCAGTGATAGGGTGTGTAGGATACGTTAGAGTAGGACGTCTTGGCGTTCAGGATCTGGAAGATCATGTGCTCCTGCTCCATCAGGAGACCTGTGGGGGGGGGTAGGATGTGTAGGATACGTTATAGGATACGTTAAGGATGTGTAGGAGACGTACGTTATAGGAAACGTATGGGATGTGTAGGATACGTTAGAGTAGGACGTCTTGGCGTTCAGGATGTGGAAGATCATGTGCTCCTGCTCCGTCAGGAGACCTGAGGGTAGGATGTGTAGGAAACGTTATAGGATACGTTACGGGACACGTTACAGGAGGCCTGGGGGTAGGATTTGTAGGATGATTCCTTATAGGACACCTTACATAAGGGTTAGAGCAATAGGATGTGTAGGATAAGTTACACTACACGCTACAGGATACGTAGCAGAACACGTTTTAGGAGGCTTAGAACAATAGGATGTGTAGGACACGTTACAGGATACATAAAATAATATAACAGTATAAAATACTATTATATAATAAAATAATATAATAGCACCCTATTAAAGCATTACTAACGCATGACTCACCCATCTCGACGAGGTGGTCCATGGTGGGGAACCTCTTCTTGATGGGGGGGCTGATCATGCTCATGGTGATGGCGAAGGTGAGGTTCACGTAGCGCAGCACCGTGCGTCTGATGACGCGCGCCTTCTCGTTCTGGTGATTATTATTTTTGCAATATTATTGAATATTATTCATTATTATTGAAAATATTATTGGGGAAAATAGAATTTTTTCCACTGCAAATTATGAATTTAGAAATAAAAAATAAGTATTTTCGACAGATTTGCCTTTTTTCAGTGGATTTGGCCGTTTTCGCTTTCCTTCACGAGCGCCTTCTCGTTCTGAGTGATTATTATTTGAATATTATTGAATTCTGAGTATTATTGGGGTAAATATTGAATATTATTGCAAATATTATTGGGGAAAATTTAATTTTTCCACTGAAAGGTGTGAATTTGCTGAAAATTGTTAAATATTGGCATGATTTGCCTTTATTCAGTGGATTTGGCCGTTTCTTTTGTCGCCATATAAACTGTTTCTCTTTCAGTAAAAATTACATATTTACTTCTAAGCATATTTAATTTTGGCCAGATTTGCCTTTCTCGGTGGATTTGGCCGTTTTTGTTTGCCGCCATCGGGCAACCTGCAGGCAGCAGCGTACGTCACAGCTCAGTGCCTCAGTGGCTGTC